CAACTCGGCTGGCGAAACACGCGTTCTCACAGAGGATATCCTGCGCGGAAAATATAGCGGGGGATCGATAGGTCGCGCGCATAAAGTCCCACGTACGTGCGACTCCCCATACACTGACAGACAGGTGCATGCGCCCCATGCGACCGTATAAGCGCAGCAGCCCCGGTGCACTCGTTACACCGGGGTGGAATGGGATGGTACATACGAAATAGACGTTAACAGCAAGCTGCACGTGCGCTTAAATTTCACCGATTCTCGATAGAAGCGCAACGGCAGATTGGAAATATATCGATACGAGCGCTGAGCAATATACGTGCAATATCTTCCAACTATGTGTTCGGCATCACTCATTCTCTTTTATAATCTCGCAATATCTGTTGCGTAATTAAATAAATGATTGAGAAATATTTTGACATATAGGGTAACAATCGGAAAACTACTGAAATTAAATGACTCTTATTTTGTAATAGATACACTGACAATGAGAGAAAAGTATTTGGTATTTGTGACTATAATTGTATGGTAATTATGATTAGGAGCTCCATTTTTATAGTTATTATAGTATTAGTTACTATAATATTAGTAAGAATAACTATGTATACGTATATAGTCCTCTGAAATCTAAAAAAAATTATACTATAAATTATGATAATTTCAAATGTTAATATAATAAAATATCAATAAATAGTAAATAAAAGAAATATTTGTATTCAGTAAATGCAATTGCAATTACAGTGAATATCACGATTTTCTCAAATTCACTTGCTACTTATATGATAAAAATAACTAAAAAGTATGTTAAAGGAAAGACTTCTTTTCAAGCAAGGTGTGCGATTATTATTAATAACACAATTGACTATATTTGCATAATTAAAACAATTATAAATATATAGTTGTTCCAAAAATGACTATAAATTGTACTTAAATTATTGTGGTAGTCACAACCATTTTTTTCTCTCAGTGCAGAATTAAATAAATCAAGTGCTATTTGAAAGTAAAAATTTGTCATTTTTATTAAAATAGGTATACTATATGCAAATAAAAATATAAATTTGTAAACTCATAAAAACAGATGTTACAAGAAAACCAATAATTTGGTTGGTTGTACTCAGAGAAAGAAAACATAGTGGTAGCAACTATAAAGATAACTATCCATTATTTTAGGAGTTAATTTTTAAATCATTGTATGAAGAAAAGTTCATATGAACACTTCAAACATCTCGTTTTAAAGATACGGGGTACTAAAAGTTTTAAAATTATCTTTATAAAAGTCTTCTCTTAAGAGCTTCTAAACGAAAAGAAATTTCATTTTCGAGTCATAGAAGGATTTCATTATTTACCTATAGTCGCCATTTTATAAAAAATCAATGGCGATAGAAATAAAATTTAGATAGTACCTACGTTAATGTCAAATTTATATGTCAATGACGAAATCTAATTTTTTTACAGATTTTATATTTCATTGTATTTTATATTACACTCTCGCTAAAAATATTAATTTTTGAACATCTTTCTCGTTTAAAAGCTATTTAAGAACAATAATTTTATAGAATTTTTAATAACCTCTAAATCGTGACATTTAAAATTAGATGTTTATATGAACATTTTTTTCAAAATTACATAAATAATCAACTCTTAAAATATTAGCCAATACTTAAGAAATACTCTATAAATATCATTAAGTTATGCAATTAGTTAAAATTTGATTGAATATTTTCATAAAATGTTAATTTTTAAATGTTTATACGCATGTATCTGCTTTTTATAGTGTGTTAACAAAAATGATAGATTTCTTCTTCATTATAGAATTCAATTTTTATTTTTATTTTTCCCGTTATTTTTATTACAAAAAATAACAGCCACTTAGTCTTAACAACTTTTCTGAGTGTCATTTTACTGCACAATTATCTTACCTATCTCTCTCCTATAGCGACATTGTCTAGTTCAATCTTACTTCTAAAAACTTTCACACCTTTTCTTCTCAACGTTAAATACCTTAATACTTGACGTCATGTTCATTTTATTAATGAGACTACATTATGAAGAGATTAATTTCCTTTTTGTTATTTACTTGATATTAGTAGCCTATAAATATAAAAATCCAATTTTGTTTGGAAAAATTATTATACCGCTCGCTGTACCGTTATCTTTATCGTTATTTTTTATAATAACAATTTGATAATTATGTTGCACTTTTTATGACTATAATGATAACTAACTAAACGTTGACGTTAGAAAAGTCACTTTGAAAAGTAACTTGTCACCACACTGAGAAAAAAATAGTCTAAATTTAAATAAATATTTATTTGTATATTGCCAACATTTACTTACAATAAATAAATATTTACTTAATAAAAAGAAGTGATTGTTAAATCAAATTAATGTTTTTTATATCTCAAATAAATATATTTTTATATTTAATAAATATATTTATTTGATATAAAAACATTAATTTGATTTAACAATCATTTCTTTTAGTTGATACTATTCAAATAAATATTTATTGAAATTTAGGATATTTTTTTTTCAGTGCATTATGCATTATTTACTGAAAAAAATAATAAGTATCTTGTGATGCTTTGACGAGTTACTTTTTTCGTTACGAATAAAAGTAACTAATTATAAACAAAAAGCTACTTTTTTCAGTCATAACTATCTTATTTTCAACCCGTTAGAAATAACGTTTGACTTTTCTAACTCGGTGTTATCATTACCGTCGTAAAAAATTCGCTACGTCATTATCAAATAATTATTTTAACAAAGTAACGACAAAAAGTAACGGCTTTACAAGTAACACGTATTTTTATTTCCTGAATTTTGTATAATACATTAGATATAAATATAGATTAAATTGTACTGTTACAGCTTTTAAAAAATCATCATTTAAAGCGCTAAGTAGAATAGAAATTCGCATGTTTTGTCTTTCTCATTAAACCGCATTTACTTCGAGATGATTAATCAATTCATTAGTGCGGTAACACGAAGTTGCGAAATGGCGAAGCGAACTTTTTCCGCTTTTAAGAAGGGAAGAAAAGCAATTCTCTGGCTTTTTCTTTAATCCGAATACTGTAATCTCCGTAGCTCGCATTTATTTATATCATTCGTGTTCGCGAAACTCACAAAAACAACCATTCCGACACCCAATTCTCGACCTCCCGGCGTAGCTGAAAAAGTTAACGCGATTAAGGAGCGCGCTTTGTTACGCAGGAATCCCATGCTCTCTCTAGCGCGAAGCGATAAATTTTTTAACGGACGCTATATCCCTTGACACACGAGAAATCGCCTCGTCCGTATGTAGAATTTTACATTTCCGAGACATTCGTTAACTCATATCTCGTCAGACGGGGAGATGGAATAATTCTCATCGATCCGAAGCCGTTTCGAATCTCTTGAGAGCCTAGCCTTGAGAAGATCTCGTGTGGCTGCGCCACGTTTTATCCGATAAATCGGAATTGCACAATCGCTGTTAAAATAAATCGAAACTAAATTACAATTTTTGCGACGGTCATTTATTTCGACGTAAGTTAAATCATTATAATTTTGATAAAAAAAAAACGGGGAAGAATATAAAGAAAATTGAAATCTATTCCCACACTTTCGGAATTTTCCTCTTACTAACCCTCATGTCAGTAGAGAAAATACCCAGCAAGTAAACTGAGGTTGTTTGCTAGGTAACCTATATATACATAAATGTTTCATTAAAATCAGAATTTTACGACATTCCCTTACCTCATAAGAGTAGTTTTAATAAAACTTTGTGTATATATATATATATATATATAGGTTACGTAAATAGATAAATTTAGAAAATATCAGTTGGAGTCAATGACAGGTTTTAAGGAGTGAATTACCTTATACGTAAAAATTTTTATATTTCAAAAACTATTCACTCAGGATATCAAAAAATGTTTTATGGAAAAGTTTTGTAATAAAATTACTTCTATTTATCTACGTCAATATTTAAAAAACAGACTTTAAAAATATGAATTTTAAAAATAATTGTTTTTTAAAAATATTATTGATGTAGGTAGAGACAGTTTTATTTTAAAACTTTTATACAATACACACACATGTCTTTATATCTTGAATGGTTTATATCTATATATTTTTGAATAATTTTCAAAATACAATGAAAAAAGCTGTTTCAATAACTGTTTCACATATATAAAGAATAATTTTATCTCTTAAAACCATTTATGGCCGCAAGTGATATTTTCTAAATTTATCTATTTACGTAATCTATATGTGTACAAAGGTTCAATAAAATCCAGAATTTGACATTTTGTGAAGTTCCTTTGTAAGGCGATAAACCTTTCAATTTTTCTGAACGATAAAGGCGCAACATCTCTCATGCAAGAGGAACTCAGAAGGTAAAGGGACGTTTGAAGAAAAGAGAAATCATATTGCAGTTCAAAAGAATTCTGTTTTGCGGTCACCTTTCTACATAATTCTATTGACTTCAATACACTCGATCCACCGCTTCGATTCACTTACACAACTCATATAACTCGCGTTCTGTTGCGTTCTTTCAAGCAGGAGTTACGCTACTCTTCCTCTATTGAGGAATTTGACTGAATTTCTGAATCAAATTCAAAACCGAGATGGCAAAGAACGGTCACGCGGAGTCGGAGTGGATGTACACTCTAACAAAAAGTTACACATAGATTTAGATATTGGGACCGTTTAATAGTGATAAATACAACTTCAACAAGACTAAGGGAAAAGACCTTTCTCATTCATATGTCTTGTCGAGAGAAATTGAAATAGTTTCATGACATTTTACCATATCTGTCACTTCGGAGATAATAACCCTTTTGTCTAAACTTGTGCATAATTTTTCCTTGTCAAAGAGTGCAATTACGCGAGATATAAAAGTGATTTACGCGGTCGCTTTTGCACGTTCTCCCACGCACAGCAATTAATGCACGACACGAGCACACGCGCGTCACGAACTGCAGGCCTTCTCTTCTTAATCGTGCTCCTGCTCGCCGCTGTTCCAGCTGCGGAAGCCAGTGTCGACTCTCTCGATCCCGGGGGCGATGAAGAACAGTGGCGGGGGGGGCGGGGGGGG